TAATAGCTAGAGGCTCAGATACCTCCTCTATTAGCTCCTTGAGTATTCTAGGAGGCATTTCATCAGGTCCTGGTGACTTGCAGGCATCTAACTTTTCTAAGTGATTTTTAACTTGTTCTTTTTTTATTTTATCTGCTAAACCTACCCCCTTCCCATTAGCATTCACTAAGTTAGGCATTCCTTCAGACTTCTCGGTGAAGACCGAAACGAAGAAGTCATTAAGCATCTCTGCCATTTCCAAGTTTCCTGTTACTGTTTCTCCCTCTTCACTAAGCAGTGGGCCTACCCAGTCTTTGGTCTTCCTCTTGCTTCTAATGTATTGATAAAAAGTCTTCTTGTTTCCCTTTATTCCTGTAGCTAGTTTGAGCTTATTTTGTAGGTTAACTTCAAAACCGTAAGAAAGAAGCCTTGCATTCTACAGAGTCTGAATCTACGATAGATAAATACATGAAGATGAGTTTGAAGCCTCTGTTGTGCATCAATATACTTTCTATCTTACATCCAATCAACAGCAAGGGCACTATATTCTGCAAGTGTCCCTACTTAGAAGTGGATGATATTTCCCAGTATACAGTCCAAGGCTCTGATCCTGCAGTTTCTTCTGTCTAGGAGGATGACAGCACTTGAGCACAGTCCACAAAAAGCAATTCCACTGCAAGGGCAGAAGTCTGTCCACACACAAGAAATCACAGGATCAAGACCCAAGACCTGTCCTATCCTAAAGTTTAAAAAGCTACACACAGTGTAAAGAATATCTATTATTCCTGTATTTTTCTTTCCCTCTTACTTGGAGCCCTTTTCATGTTTTCTCTCCTTCCCAGTCCCAACATAAAAAACAAAGCCTCTTGGGGATTTTCCAAATTAGGTCAAGGCATCTGTATACAAGCTTTCTCCAAATCTCTTTTCATTGTGTTAGGAAACCGAGATTTGATCATTTGAAAGGCAAAAGATTATCCAAGGCCCAAAATGATCTATATTACTTGCAAATAGATTTTAATCACATAATAGGTATAACAACTAATTTTTTGTATGTTTTTCAACTATTCAAATATAGATTCTATCACATTCCCTCAATAGTGCATAATATCTCCATAAATTACTAATACTGATATTTATGTAGTTATGCTTTAGAGTTCAGAATGATTTCACATCTCAGAATACGTATATCTGAGAGTTAGGATTCTCGCCAAGAACGCTTTCCATTCGGCTTCCCAAAAACTCAGCTCAACTCCAGCCTTCGTCACTCAATTATCTTTATTTGGCAGTGCTACACTGAGATGATCAGACTCAGACGTGGGGGGAGGGGGGCATGGATGCAGGATATATCACAGCTCCAAAGTTACCCAGAAACGTCTCCCTCTATATACATTACATATCTCATTGCATTTACTAAGCATTGAGTCATACATTTTAAGATTGGCTTGATTTCTTAGCAGGAACCAATCCCTCTACCTTATGCTCCACCCACGCACTGTGCAAGTTTTGACTTCCTCTTTACCTCATCTCTACATTCCTAATTTATTTTTTCCCTTGTTATCTAGTTCAGAGTAAATAGTTCCCTGGGTGTTCTTCCTCTTATCTTAGTTAGATAATGCAGTCTCTCTCCTTAGACTATTGACATGTTTGCTTCTCATTTAGTGCAAACTTTCTGTTTTGAGCCTGATAATTCATTTAACTCCTTAATTCTTTCATCCAAGAAATAAGGCCTTCCTCCAAGTGTTAATTACTGATGTCTCAACAGGGTTCAGCTACTTTTCCCTGATTCTGTCTTTTTATATTAGCATTCATTTCATTTGTATTATCTTCCTGTTTTTGTGCTCTTTTTTGTTAAGTTTATTACCCAGCAGCACTTTCCCAAAAATCACAATGGTTTTAATCATTTGAACTACCATTAAAAATAGGCTCCAAGTACAAACCAGGAGGTACAAGCCTACCTCTTTTGGCACAGCCCACCAGGGTGTTTCCACTGCCTGAACACTATTATCCCCAATTGCTTCTTGCTCTGCTATTAGTTAGAGCAATTGGTGCCCATTGCTCTATTTTCCTAGGTACCAAAAAAGCACTGTTAATGGTCAAGGGAGGTATGTGTGCAAAGAGATTGGTCATCAGTGATTCCCATTTGGTGTTGGCTGTCGTGGGCTGTTGCATTCTCCCAATCCGAGTCAGAGAGATGAGGTTCAGTCAAAGTCCATCCAGGCTCCCCTGGCATATTGTCCACGCCGAACAGTTGTGGTATCTCAGAGCACATACTATGTCCCCGAGCCATACCACCTCCTTCACTCTCTAATGACTAGTTGGGTCCAACTGCCACCACTTGTGGTCAGGTTCATCTGTGCCAAACACTGTCAGAACCATCATTTACAGCAGGCTGTGTTTATTTCAGCTTGTCCTTGTGTAGCTATCTTCCCACTGGGATAATGCTGTTTGTAGATCCCATTCGTTATTGTACCATACTGTTCACATTATCAATTATTTAGGATTCCCTGTCCATTTTGGAATAGCAATCATTGGCACCGAGTTATTAATTGTGTGATGTCCAAGGTCCAGGATCTTCTAGCTTTGCAAATTTTCTTCCCCAATATTATCAATTCTTTCCACTAGTGTGGTTGTAAGAGTGCAGACTCACCCCTGCGGTGCCTCCTGCTGGTCTCTCAGGGAATTAGCTCGATTTCCAGCCTGGAGCACGCTCTGCAGGCCGGTGACCCGCCACAACTGGGCCCCGAGTCTCCCCCGGACTCAGTTTTCTCTGAGGTGCTGCCCCCTGGCTATACCCCAACAATCTCTGTGGGTCTCCCTTACCCGGGGAACCCCCACCTCACCTCAGTCTAGGCTACTGCCAGTCTTCACCTAGCCCACTCACTGGGGCAGACTGCAGTATAAAAGCCATTAATCACAGGCAAGGGGGTTTGACCTGCTGCCTTCTTCTATCACCCAGTACCTCTATGGGCCTGGGACCAGGCCCTGCAGCCTGGGGAGTCTCCAGGCTGGAGCTCCCCTGCTCCTCTCCAGCCCTGCTTCACCCCCAGGTACCCTCTTATTCCCCTGCAGCCAGGCCGGTCTCACTCCACAGCTAGAGGAGAGACGCTGCTCAGCTTCTGGCTG